AAAATAGATACAATATTCAGGAGATGATTATTAATTAGTTCTTGAAAATCATTTTCATAGAGTATTTCCTTACAAGACTCCAAATTTTTCCAATTCACGATTAGGTTAGTCTACTTACTAAAAATGTAATTGAAATTGTTTCTTGAGCTATACTTTCTGAACATTTTAAAATTAAGTACAAGGAAAGGAGAAAAGATGGGCTATTCCGATAGAGTAAGTGGAGGACTTTGCCTACCATTCTCTACATTTTGCTATACATTTGCATTTTGTCTTACATCCATCATCCAGCACAAGTGTAATTAGTGTCTTCTACATTAGTAGAAGTGTGTGCAACCCCTGCAGTCTTAGGAGCTTGGTTTTCTCCAGTCTTGTTAAAGGGAGATGTTACAAAGATGATGGAAAAGAATGGCTGATAGTTAACTCTCTTTGTAAGAGAATAAAATCCATTCCCTCTTAGCCTGAAAAGAAGTGTGGATTTTTTCCATAGTCACTCACCCAGTCTGGAGCTTTACCACAACCTCTCTGTAGTACTCCTCCGGAGGGCATTACTCATGTCCTGCAAATGGCACTTCTGGGGTAGAACAGAGGCAACTTGCACAGCCATGAGCCATCTGCCCTAGTTGTCTATTAACACACACACTTCTTATGGGCATCAGTATCTCCTGGAGAGACAGTGCTTAATGGTGGGCTTAATGCCCACTGGAACTTCCTCTCTGTATTTTGGTTTATTATGAAGTCTCAAGCTTTAGCCTAAATGTGGTGTTCATGTATTTTCATTTGGGTATAGTTTAGGGTTAAGTCCCTGCTGTGGGCTAATTGTTTATATACTGAAACCTAATCACCAATGTGATGGTATTAGGAGGTGGGGCCTTTGGGATGTGATTCAATCATGAGGGCAGAGTCCTCATGGATGGGATTAGTGCCTTTATAAAGGAGACCCTAGAGAGTTTCTTTGCCCTTTCCACCATGTTGGGACACAGACAGAAAGCATTGTTTATGAACCAAAGAGCACCGCCTCACCAGACAGTCTACTGGCACCTTGATCTTGGACTTTCCAGACTCTAGAACTCTGAGAAATAGAAATCTGTTGTTTATAAGCCATCCAGTTTAAGGAATTTTGTTACAGCAGCTGGAATGGACTAAGAACATATCCTTGTATGAATGTCTAGGACCTGGCTGGATGAAGGAGTGAATATTCTTGGGACCTGTTTTCAGGTAGGTTGGAGAAAAGAGTAGTAGGTTTATGAACAGTTAATGGAAATTTCACTAAATTTCCCCAACATACATTAAATTAGTAAAATAATTCATCTAATTAATCAGAGGATGCATTCGACAACAGATGTATCCATTTATTCATTTATTCAATAAATATTACAGAGTGACTATTCTGTCCTGGCCACTCAGCAGTGAACCAGATATGGCCTCTGCACTCACAGCATTTCTCTTGGTATAAGTAGATAGACAACCTTCAACCCAGTGTGCTAAATGCTGTGATAGGAGTATTAGAGAAAGGCCTGGGAGCTCTGAGAAAAGACAGGTAATCTATACTGGAGGCTATGTAGAGTGAGAAAAGGATTCCAGAAACAGCTATATCTCAGATCAGACACGAAAGGTGTATAGAAGTT